TTTGTGGCCATACTTTGGACATGCTTTGTACCCAAACAATGAGACTTTGTTTTGTTTTTATGCAAGGCCATGGGTTTCATGTAGTTCTATTTATATAAAAAAAAGATTTGGTTTTAATTAATGGCCATGTTTGAGATCGGTGTGTGACTTGTCACTAGGAAACAAATCTTGCGGTTTTATACGTTTGTAGCTAACAAGCCCCTACGTTTTGGCCCAATTTATCCATGTAGGAACTTGCTATTTGTAGAAGAATTAGGCTCATGTTTTATTCTTCATTTCTTTTTTGAATCGTGTTCTGTCTATTCTTTTTCGTGTTTTCAAAGCTTGCTTCAAAATATGTTCCATTCCATGATGCACAAAGTACTAAACATGGCTGGAAGGTTCGTAACTTGTATTTTTCTAAGCGCACCCAAAATGCACATACAAGTGGAAAAGTAGTGGATTTGAGGGGCAAATTTCTTTGGGGGAAATCTCAGAGGAGCCGAACATCTGCATTATGTACGTCGTTCTCGAATTACGTGGGATCGAAGCGAGGAAGGATTATTATTAGTGGCTCATTTCCTCTCTGTGGTTGAGCAGGAGAAAGTCGGCGAGTGTGTGTGGAGAAGAATGAGCATGTGATTGCCATCGGCTCGTTTTTTATTTTATGCACATTGTGACATTTGTTGTCATGCTGGCCACGTACATGGAAATATGCCCTCGAACCAAAACCTGTCTGGCTGAAGAGAAGGCAATCTGTCCGAAATAAGGTCTGACTCCAGCCCACGAACTAAACTAACCAACCATTTCTTGTCCGTCGCCTTGTTCTTCTTATCTCACTCAATCCCATCCCGCGGGCCGTGCGGGAGGGATGCCCCACATTTCTGATTCGGGCACAGTCCCGGGAAAATACTCTTAGGAAACGAGGATTTGGAGGGAATTGAAGGGGTAAAAAAGGAGTCTTTGAGCGTGCTGACGTCCTTTGCGCAGAGCCCGAGGATAAATATTGGGTAATAATTCGTCTCTCTCGCTCATTCAAATTAGGCCTGGCTGGGCTGTAAATCTGACTCTGGGTGGTGTACTACCCGACCGACTGCAGTTGTACTTGGGGGCCACGTTCTCTTTGATTGATTGCCGGCTGGGTAGGTACTGAGATGGTGCACACGGGGAGGGAGAAAGTGGATCGAGAAAGCCGTCTCAACGGCACAACGCTCACATTATGAAAAGTGCTTCCTTACCTGCTCAAAGTGAAATAATGAACGAATTCACATTTGCAGATAATTTGGAGCCAATTTCGATACCCAGGCGCACATGTTCTCCATGAAATGCATTTCATTCTGACTTTGCGACGCCTCTGGGGACGATGATGTGACGCCAATTTCGCCCTATTTTGTCCCTCTTTATAAAATTCCTCGGTCTGCTTTGAGCCTCTTGGATTTCATTCCTGTTTATGCATCTTGGGCGTGGGGACCAACTCATTTGTCCGTCGTAAATATACTCCATTCTGATTTTGGACACATCAAAATGAGCGAAAACGACGAAATCTCGCCGCATGCGAGCGGGACAGAGAACAATTATTCCGCTGTACTGCCCGCCGCCCAGTTTCAGCTACACCGTGGAAACCCAATGTGGATAGTTAGCAGAGTAAATTAGTCCCAGGGCCACTGCGTGTCGACTCCTTAAATAAATTCTTGAACCCCACCCACCAACCAAACATTGGGTCTGGAAACCGGAAATTAACACGGTATCAATGTCACGTATTTACTTATTGTCCGCCCGGGTTATTTATACCCCGTCCGTGTTGGGAATCTGTCACTTGACCGCGTTGGAGAGAGTCTTCTTTGGGGCGTTGGAGGGACGTTCGACCTGCACGACCCTCAGAGCTGAAACGAAGCCTTGACACAAACACGGATGGCATATTCCTCTGACAATGCAAGTCTTTTACGTGTACAACTCAGATCTGGTTGGGACCAATTTTATGTTGTTCACCACAAAAAATAAGCATACCCGTATTTTTTCATTTTTCATAATGCGCTAATTTGAGCGCGGGGTGCGAATTTTAAAACATTTTTCAGCCAAAACCTCGGTTTTTAAAAATTCTGTAAATTTTCGAATTTTAGCCCGAATCCAAAAATTCGAAAACATGTCTCTTCAGAATGACTTACTTGACTTATAAAAAATTCAATTGTCTTGAAATTTGATTTTCAAAATTTTTTGTCAGTTTTTGAAATTCATTAAATTATAAAGTCTTTCAAATTTTTAATTTTTCAAACAATAATGCATGTGGATTTTTCATAAGTCAAGTAAGTCATTCTGAAGACACATGTTTTCGAATTTTTGGATTCGCGCTAAAATTCGAAAATTTACGGAATTTTTAAAAAGCGAGGTTTTGGCTGAAAAATGTTTTAAAATTCGCGCCTCGCGCTCAAATTAGCGCATTATGAAAAATGAAAAAATACGGGTATGCTTATTTTTTGTGGTGAACAACATAAAATTGGTCCCAACCAGATCTGAGTTGTACACGTAAAAGACTTGCATTGTGAGTAATTGGCTACTTGGTGGGTATTCGTGTAGGTTGCTACACGAATACGGCTTACCTACAGACGTCGTGGTGGGCGCGAGACATGTCTCTTGTTCCTACGCCTTGGCTTTGCTTGATTTAGAGGAGAATAAAACAAGGATTTGGGTGCAGTTGGAGGATGAAGTATTAGTCGTCCCCGTCTCAAGGCATGCACTCTTTCCAGCTTGAAGGAGACAAGTGGGGATATGCAAGAAAGTCGGAAAATAAAGGTGGTTTTTGTGATACAGAAAGTGTTCTTGTTCAGTTTATTAGGACAGAAAATGTAGACGGCAAAACAAGAAATGCATACTCGAACCACTACCACGAAGGAGCCAGGGTTTCACCAGTTTGCTCATTTGGTCCACTCCAAGTATCCGGATGAAATACGTTTCGACCCCCGTCCGGAAAAATCACCGTATCGCCAATGACACGATTTAAAGAAATTGCAAACCCAATAATGTGCAGTGAATGCAGAGAAATCGGATCTGGTGTCACTTCTGGAACTGGGCACACTGCTTGCAAAGTAGGAAATCGTTCTCCTTGTGATTAGTCACTAATCCGTTCACTCCACGTGGAGGCAGACAAACGGGCGGAGAGACGCGTTCTCAAGGAAATTGTCAAAGGCGAAATTGCCATTGCTTAATTTTCAATTGATGTATAGAAATCATGCATAAATTTCGCAACGTTCATCCCATTGGTGGCTGGTGTATTATTATCGGAAAAAATGGGGGCGAATCCAATTTAGGAATCTTCTTAATTGGATTCCTTTCATGATTTGGGTGACCTTTGAAGAATAGAGGCGCGTGAAGCTTGTTTGTTCAAAGTGAGGAAAAGTTGCGAAACCCGAAATAGATCAAGAGCACAGTTCTATGAATTAAGGAACGAATGAATTCACTAATAAGTGAATTAATTCCTTCCTTAATGCGAGATATGATATCAAGGAACATAAGGTGGCATGTGCTATTTTTGTTCCCTAATTGGCAAAATGGCAATAAGTATAAGGGTGTTGAGTAATTTTGCAAGAAATTGTCATTTTTTAAAGGCATTTCTCAACTTATGTAGGTACTAGCGTATAAGCCCGTCTCCCGCCGGGCTTAGTTGATTTTCATGAAAATTAAGTACGATTGTTCATAATTAATTCCGCCGAATTATTTTTTTAATTGTATCTTGTATCTATATTATTAGCTGGAAATGTGTGTTAGCAAGGGAAATGAAACTTTCTCCACTTTCACTTCCGTCACGGAAAATTACTTTCACTTCCGTTGCAGACAAACATTTCCAGCTTATAATATAGATATTCCGTCCATTCTCATTGGGTATGGAAATTTGCAAAAATAGAGCTACTTGCTTTTGCAAAAATTTCAGAAACTTACAAGCCAATTAAATGAAAACCTATAGTTTCCACTTTATTTTTAAAAACAGTGTCGTTCAACTAGGACGAGTAGCCATTTTTTGTCAAAACTTGGCCTCGTGCTTGGTTGCCATGACTGCTGCAGCCCAACTGTAATTGGTACATGGCTATCGATAAATTTTTCCCCCATTCCGCCGCACAGTTCTCGACCGGAATGTAATCCAAGACGAGATTGGGACTGGTATAAAATCCATTAGCTTTTCTCCCAGACCCATAAACGCATCTCTCCCGTGTACAAAGAAGAAAAGACAAGAGGCAAAAGTACCCTTTGGGGCCGTGCAGGAGGAACTTGATCCATTCGCATCCGTCCGCATCCCAATTTCACACTTCCATTGCCTACATATGGACGACTTAAAAAAAACTTGCAGTAAAAATCAAAGTGGTTCTACGGCCTTTAATAAATACTTACAACTTTGCTAATTAACTGGTATGCATTATGTTAATTAACTGTTTAAGCGTCCAATCAATTTCGACATTTCTCCACCAAGTTTCCACGTGGCGGGTGACGTGGGAATCTCCCCAATTTTCCCACTGGGAAGCACAGCTTTATACCTAACGCCTTAGATAGGATTCATTTCTGTGAGTTTTTCCGGGTGCCTGGGGGCTTGAAAGTAGCGTGGCGTTGCGACAAAGAATGTGCGGATCCTTTCTGCAGGACCCATTGGAGCTACCTGGCTTAAAAAGAGGGAGCGACCACTCTTGACTCTGGACACGTCCGCGTTGCTGTGTACAGTTTAAAATAATTCCATGCCCACTGGCACGGCAGGAATGCGAATGAGTCCCCAGACCATGTCCCACCACTGCTGCCTCCTCCTCCTAATTGCTCCTCCATTGTCCTAAAAATCCTCCTAAAAATGTCAACAATTTCAACCACTCGTCCCACCACATCCAGCGTCGTCGTATCCCAGGGAGAAAGCCAAAAGGAAAGTTGTGCTGTTTTACCAAATTTACTCATGTACATATATTTCCGGTGACGATGATCTCATTGACTTTGCAAATATCTTTCTCATGATTTATGTAGATGCCCAATAAATCTAGAGCGGTTTGAAATATATTTTTTGGGTATAAAATTCTGGTTTTATTTCACAACAGGTGATGAAGACTGGGCAACATTGTTTTTTTTGTTTCTTTCTTTGGTACCAGAAGAGAGTCTCTTGGCTAAAGAGTTGTCGTAGTCATAGTAACAATGATAATGGTAACGGTAATAACATGTGGTAGTATTGTATCGTAACGTTAAAATACCTATGGCATTTCATCAAATAGAAAACATAAGTCGGAATATGATCATATAAATTGTTGCACGGCTACAGTACATAATATAGATTTATGTATATAAACAGTGTGTAAGTGATGCTGTAAACGGTACAGTAATAATATCCCTCGAGCACCTCGAGGATTTGAATGGGGCTCTCCCGCTCTTTGTCATTCTACCCCGAGAAAAAGCCACTAGCTGCAACTTCGTGGTTAAGTATGTTTGGACACTTAACATGAAAATCCTCCCACATCCGTACATGCTCAAGGCTAGCAAAAATTGTCTCGGGGTAATGCGACAAAAGGTGGGAAAACCTATTGAAACCGTAAAGATACCCAAGATCGAGGATATGGCTATTAACAAGAAGTAAGGAAAAACGATATTTAGAGGAAGAGGCGACAGCGAGCGGTTTTTGTAACGGAGAGTTAAATTAAAACTCGAAAAAATTGGGAGTTAAGAATTATTCTAATGGGGAAACATGGCACATTTTTTAACTTTCTCCATGTAAATAAATTTGGATACGAGAGGGGAAAGAATTGAGAGGTTTTTTCTAAGATAAGACGATATCAAGAGGAGCACCAGGGACGGGGGTGGGTAACGTTTAACAGTAGCGATACACAAGTAAACCAATCTTCCTTAAATACACGACGCACAATGAACGAACGACACCAAGGAATGTGTATGGTCAAAAAGTATTTGGTTGACGGTACATGAAATGATTTGGTTCAACTTTGCCTTAAATTGTAGTACAACACGCCCATTGTTCTCCCTCTTCTCCGTAACAGCTATTCAATCTTTTTGGTTTTCAGCTAATCATAATCAGAGTTAAGTAGTTACGTAGCTGTCTAAGTAAGTAATAATATGTGGCTTTTTCAGAGTGGTCTTGACTTAGAAGATATTATTTAGTACATTTAAAATGATATATATATATATATTATATATCTATAGAGATGTATATAATTTAGGTCGTAATGTATCATTATTTAGTATACACACGAGAAGAAGGATTTTTTTTAATAGTTAGCAATAAGTGACCCAACCTTTCACCACGACGCTTTCACCACAATTTCTCCCAGCGGACATAAAACGTATTCTTTCTCTCTCTTCACCTTCCGGCCATAATTATCACGGCGTGGTTCGGTTACTTGGCCGGTTTGGGGGTCCAGGTCAGTATCAAGGTCCTGCATCTCTCGAGTAGGCAGGATTCGAACGGGGTTTTCCCACTCTGTATCTGGTCACCCCGAAAATAAATCTGCTTGCTAGGTTTAATAGAAATGCCTGGATTTGGATTTGAATTGGCAAAACATGCTAAAAAAGCAGATTTATTTGTCGTGGCAACGTAGCTCATGGTGGGAAAAACGTTGAAATCCTGCCCCTTCCAGATCAATGAGATGGATATTTTTTTACCATGCATGTGACTAATTAAATAGGTAACTAATTTAGACATGTTTATATATTTAACCAGACAGAAATAATGGATTGCGTTCAAGTATCTTTCTCTGTATTTATTAATATATCACTAAATTGAGTAGTGGATAAGTGTTTAGAGTGGTACGATTAGCGAGAAGTGGTGGTAATTGTTCCTTAATTCTTGTCAACCGAGTGCATACATAATGCAAGAAGAACAATTAATCAACGACGACGACGACGACTGACTAGAATGAATAAAAGCTCATTTGTTTTATTTTTCTTCTCTGTGTGGATTGGTTTCTTTGACGAGACGAGTTCTTGCTACGCTACGTTTGCTTGGCCAAGACTGGAGTGAGGAGAAGACTGAGAAGAAAAAGACACAAGACTTTTTTTACGGGGACCACGACCACCAGAGGCTTTTCTATTCTCCAATATGTCCCGTCCCAGTAAGTATTTCTTGCTTTAGAAATGAAAATCTTGTTAAAAAAGACGAAAAAGTACGAAAAAAATATGACAAAAAATATATATTTTTAAAAATACTTAAAAAATGTTCTCCCATCCCTCTAAATTTATGTAAATACCTAAGTGGATATGAGAACAACGAAATATTGAATAAATTGAGTACATACGTGGGTTTAGTGAATGTATATAATTTTACACGTGGGAAAAGAGAGGGGTTTTTATAGGATACAAATCACAAATTAATATCAAACAGAAAGCTGAGTATCATCGAGGTGGTGAGGCGTTGAAATAAATCGTAAATAAATAAGCCTACTGATTTTATGAGGAGAAAGCATAGCGATAAAAATGACACTTCTTGACGTGTGGGCTGGATGATGATGTCGTCCACATTTAAATTCATCACGTTGTAACCGGAATTAATTATTTGCGCAGTCACAAATATTGGAGCGAAAATGAGACCTGATTTGCAACTTTCCAGTGTCGAAATTTTGTCGAATTGGTTTGGCGCATACACTTGGTTATCTTGTTAAGCACTAAAAAGAAATAATCGAAGATGGATATCATTTGAAAAGTATTTTTCAGGAAATCAATTCAAATTTCAACAAAAACAACTTTCTCCACGCAAACGTATTTTTCAATTGTGTAATAAACTTGACACTCGGAGTAGAAAGTTTCAGTTGTCAGGATTTTCGTGATTCCTGGGCGATTCATCACTGTTGGACGCGTGGCTTGGTGACTCTGCTTCGTCACCAGACTTGATCGTGGTCATCACTTAAGTTTAGTTTGGCCAATAATAAAGTAGCGATGGGTGGACTCGAGTAGTTTTCTGCTTTCTCTTTCCTTTTACCCGGGAACTTTGTGGGTTGGTGGAAACTTTGCGTGCGGACATGGTTGGTTATACTTTCACTCGTCCGGAACGCACTCGCCTCTCTTATTTTTTGCTTATGAAGTCAACTAATTATTTATTCTTAATTAGCATTATTACAGTCAGTGTTAGGTAAGTGGTGTAAAAGTTTGGAGTGGATTCTTCTTGGAGTCCACGTGGTTGTCACTCTTTTCGTTTTTGTGTAGATATATATGTATCACTATAAAAATGGTAGCACCGATGGAGCATGGACAAGGTGAGAGGGAGGAGGGGGGAGGGGGGGTAAGTTGAGACTAATAATGGTCACATTAGCAAGTCAGTTCCTTCACAAGGTGGAGATTCGGACGATGGGCTGTTTACTTGAGCCGCCACTCGTGCTCGCGCCACCAGCGACGGCTTTGGGCGAAGGCGTTCTGGACTCGAGTTCCACGGTGGCGGGTGAGGGGAGCGTGACGAGGGCGGTGGTCACGGAGGTGACGGGGCTGGAGGAGGACGTCGTGGCGTTCAGTTGGCGGGAGGGAGGGAGATCAGTCGGCGTCTTTTTGGACGACGTTCCTATGGACGAAGGAGGTCGGTCGGATTTGAGCCGAATTTGGATGTCGTTCAGCTCGTCGGGATCGTCCCCACTCCCAATCTCGTCACGACTGTGCTTCTGTGTGGAAGACAGATGGGTACATGTTAATTACATCGCCAAGGTCACAACCAGGGTCAAGGTCAAACTTACTCCCATGAGAAACTATATAGTTTTACTACTGTGTGTAGAATGTGAGAGGAGAAAGTGAAACAAAATGGACGACCACTAAGAATAAATACTTGCATACGTACGACTAGAATACAAATTTCGCCAAACACTCGTCACCTAAAAATTAGTCCTTATTTGCAAGAATGTACAAAATTCGGTCCGCTACTGGAGAGAAAATACTGCTAGTTCTACATAAATACTTGGGGTCACGTGGCAGAGGGGGCGGTGAGGCTGAGGTCAAATCCTGACCTCACAAATGCAGCAAGTACTCATCATTCACATTTTTAAGCTATGCACTCCAATGCAGTGAGCACACACGAGACATCCGCAACGGAAGGCAAAGGGACTCGTGGTGCTGGTGGTGGTAGGCTACTCGGTTAGTTGCGAATTTTTGGGGGGCGAGTATACGGTGCAAGGTGTGCGTACGTTAATGCGGTAGAGATTTAGAATAATACAAAAATTCCCATGCGGATATTTATGCCGTCGATCTGCAGTGGTCAGAATCTGAATGGGTTTTTATTACTCCGTGCCATTTTGCCCCGGAAAAAGAAGTAGTTGGAGATGTTTTTAGTTTGTATATACGCATGCACAGATTGGGGTTGGCCAGAGATGGAAAAAGCATTCAAATTTCCCAAAGGCAGGATATGGATATTGACACGGTGTCAATATTCCATCCATCCCGTGGATGGTCCCAATTCTCCTCGCGGAAAAAGTTACTGCTCATGTAAAGTGGAGAATTCTATAAAATTGACAACTCGCAAAGGAATAAACTGGGAGGAAATCTCCCTGCATTTTTTGTACATGAATGTGAAGCGAAAAAAGAAAGCCGGAGAAAATGTCATCCGTCTCAGGTGACGGGATTCATATGAAAAGGTGAAGCTTATTATTAGAGAAAAACAAGGCGAACGCGAGCAGTATGCATGACAGAGAAGCGGCTCAAGGACGTGACACTCCCAGGATCCCCGCCGTCATATTTTCCACAATTTCTGATCCGTTTTTAGCCCCCCCCCCAAGTATTTCTTAACCCCCCCCCTCCACAGTTTCTTGCCACCCCATCGGGGGCACGGTGACATTTGACCTTTCGGCCCCCCAAACAAGGATTTCGACTTGAGGAGGAATTCAACCTTTTTTCCACTGGTAAATCTGCATTTTAAAAAAATTGGGGGAAACATGGGGGCAAGGCATCCCGCGAGTGTCACGTGATATGCAGCAGCATGGCACAAAACACATCATTATTAAAATTATGTTGTACAGAGATACATATTCAGGGTGAGAATGCAGTACGGGGATCGTGTTCACATAATATTTTCTTGGTACAAAAGTGGGCTCGTTTTACACGAGTGTTTATTCACGGTATCATGTCACATACGTGGCGGATTTCCATACGAGTCGAGCTTTTTTCCTCCTCGACAGGACGGGTTTCCAGTCTTTTGCGGGTGGTGCGGAAAGGATTTTTTTCGCCCTGCCCTGAGGATCTGGGTGAACACGGGAAAGGTCGTGACCTCAAAAAGTGTGTCCAACCTTTCTGTACGACCCTTCATGTACATATTTGATATTTGGGTGTGACATTTCAAAAAGGGAATAGTAACAGATTTGTCCTTACCGCCCGAACCACGTGGCATGTTTTTGGTGGGGTCATGTTGCTTGATTATTGAGCAAATTTGCATAATTTAGTACAGATTATGTTACACTGGATACGTTTCAACGTTTTCTTTCATGCCAGACAAATACTTAGGAATGAGGAGACAGATGCAAAAAAGAAGGCAGAAATTTCAAGTCGGGTTTCTTTTTAGATACAATCCAATCACAAAATGCAATAAAATGCACAAACGGGAGTACAAATTCTGACATCAATCTTGCCAAATTACGTAAGGAATGCGCATATCGTGTGGAAATTTCTAAATTAATTACACGGTCGTGCAACGTGCCACAAAAAGTTATAAATCATGGACTTGTGTGTATTCTTCAGTAGCTTCATTCCATGTTTTTATGTGTAAGTGTGGATCTTGTAATGTGTTTGTACTTCAATATTTGGAGACTTATTTCTTGTTTGCATTTAAAACTGAAACAATGTGGCAACGATTTATTACCCAAATGGTAACAACAAATTGGACACGAAATTTAAATTTCTCACTACACCAGATCTCATTCAAGATTTATCAATTTGAATTTCAGCCACAATTTTTATTACTGTTCGATAATAACTCGATACCACGGGAGGAGAGGTGAGTTTGCTACCAGAGTGTGTAAAAATGGGTAAAAGACCTTTGGTGATTAGAGCCTTTCTCCTTGTACAATAACGTGAGTGAAATTGATGGAGGGGAAAATTTGGCAAGAGGAGAAAGCAAACTGTGTGCCTGGTTTGTTGGCATGATTTCTGGATGCGAGGAAGGACCACGTCATGCCGATCCTCTCTCGCCCCGTTATGTTCCTCCATCCTCGTCGCCACACTCTTAACAATTCCGGACCAAATGAACTGGGTCCGAAGCGTGTAATTCGACTGAAGGAGGTAAATATACTTGGAGGTGAAAGTCAACTTGGGAAAAGCTTGGTCACTATTGTTAAAGTCAAATATTTATGTTTACCTACAGATGGTAGTGACGGGTGTAGGGTTTGTAAATTTTAATTTCGCGGAGTGTTAAAAAAGAAATAGTCCCGGTAAGATTCTGGTCCAACAAGTGTAGGTAAATAGTGTTTGAGTGATGTGAGATGTGTGTGAGGGTGGAGGCCTGTTGTTGTAAGTATTTGGCTTTGGAGAAGGTGACGACAAGGGAGCGGGCCTGGAAAAACGTTACCTGTTGTGATCTCACTTCAATCTTGTCGCTATAGACGTAGACTACCCGGTCGTCCCTCGCACCCCCCGTCGACGGCCCAGCACCACCCCGACTGGCCGGGCTGGCTGCCAGAAACGGAAGTGTCTTCGCTCATCGAGGAGCACAAGGAAAAAGCAAAAGTGAGGCAGATGTAGCCCAAAGCCACGAAAGGAAAGAAACACAAAACAACAAATTCACAATGAAAACACTAATTTTTTATGATGCTCACACCCATTACTTCACTTTTTACACTCTTCACCACCCTCCTGGCTTCTCATCGTCTTCTTACGCTTACCAAGTGACCTCGCTTTCTCGAGCCCCAGCTTCTCATCCCTTCTCCACAATCTTACCAGCCATGTCCAAGATGTGAGTCGACAGGACTTGAATAGTGTTTCCCCATGTCATATTGCCCCCAAAATATCTACTCCCGACCTTTTAAAATTCTAGACTGTGAAAGACACTATTCAAATCTGGCTCGGACCACCCATGACATGAACATTCCTCTCTTAACTTTTAACCTTATTGGGCAGCTAGCTTATTGAGGTGGGGAGTTTGAGGTGGGGACTTGGACGTACGTAGGGACAGGGTGGGTGGGTGGCTGGCGGCATTTGCGCAAGAATTTGAACTGACGCCGCGGACAAGGTGTAACATGTTATGAGCGTGGTGTTTCATTGAGGTGAAAGCGCTGCCCGGGAGAGAAATAGGAAAAGTGCGTAAGTGGGAAGAAGGGGATGGACGGGCGCCGGGATCGCTCCTCCGTGTGAAGAAGAAGCACATTGAAAGCACAGAGTGGAAGGAACGTGGTGGGTGACTTGACCAGCGGCCCTGCTCATTTCCTAATTACACTCCCAAGCAGCTAGGCTTCCTTTTCTACTCTCACCAAGTTTTATACCACTGTCTTCATCTCAACCAAGGTCTCCACCTTGGTTGATCCCTACGTATCTACATTATCTAAATATGCTACGCTAACCATGTCGGATTTTCTTAAGCCACGGAGCCCGGGTAATTTCGAGCATAAATACGTTTTGTAGTCAGCAGGGACGGTGCGTGAAGGATGTCGCGTTTCCTGGCCTCAGTTCCACATCAATGACACCATGGATAAGAACTGGAATGAGTCAGTGATGTCACGAAATGGTCCTCCAGTACTCCAGCTTATCGTCCCAGGCTTGAGACACCCTTCACGCAGAGTCCCGTACGGAACTCAAGTTTGCAAGTCTATTGGGAGAGATATAAAAATGTCGTCACCTGGTAACGTTGCGGGCAACACCTCGTCGGACAACAGAGTTGGAGGAGGGTGGTCGCAGCGCCGTTAGGATGACCGCCGCGGACGTCGCTTCCCACCCCGGGTGAGGCGGGCCTCAGGGCGGGCGGGGGTGTTGGTGGCGGGGAAGGGCTCCCGGGTCGTTTCGGCTGCCCGTTGTAGGGAACGTCCATCTCGACAAATTCCCGATCCTAGTTAACAAATCGAGACCCCTTTCCTTATATAGTTTTTGCACCCAGACAAAGCCAAACTGCGTGTTTTTTCATCGTTTTTTTAATTTCCCTTCATAGTGCATCAGTTAAAGAATTAATAAATGCGGCCGGAAATTTCACACACCCTCAAAAACAGTGGCTAATAAGAATAGTTTACAAGCCAAGTAAGTTCTAGGAGAGCATGTTACTGTGTAATAATTAATTTCAGGGTGCAATTTAGTTGATGAGTTAGTCTTAGATTTATTAGCGGGAAAAGAGAAAAGAAAGTTGGGATTAGTTGAGTGAAGAGAAGGTTTGTTATTGAGATTTATTCGCTATTTACAACACGTGACCTCAACAAATATAATTGTGTACCTATGGTGACTCGTCTCTCTTTCCCCCTCCCGTCCTCCTCCTCTTCATCATCATCAGTAGTCACTCTCTCCCGGCGTACGAAGTCTCAGACCCTGCGAAACAGTAATAGTAACGCCCCCAAGAAAAGGCCTATTTCCTCACTTTGCTCTCACTCCACGAGAACCAACCACACCTACTCATCACACCACACGACATTTATGCACAGACTTGGGGCACATTGAGAACGACTCTGTTTAAAGCACATTTTTCCCGCCCCGAAGAACACGCAACACGGAGAAAGCACAGGAAGACGAGTAAGCGATCCTTACAAAATTCATGGCACTAAATAACAGAACAACACAAAGTAAAGATGGTAACGAACGTGTGTAACGAAAATTAGCGGGCGGGCGGGCGGGAGGAGGTTTGGGCGGCACGAGGAGGACATCATCATTGGCCAGCTTGGAGGATATTTTGTCACGATTTTAACGAGAAGAAAGGGAGCCGCCAGAAAAAAAGGACTAATTGATTACTTTCTCCCTAGGATCTGATTTCCATGTCGTGCTCCACACTGGCCGAGTCGCGCATCTATGGTGGATTATTTTCAGGATTAAATAAGTCTCCAGTTTCCATGGTTACTGAATTCTAGCTCGAAAAAAGGGGTGGATTATGGAGCATTTCCACCGCCTATCTTCCCATCTCGGAAGCGGAGCAGATAATCAAGGGAAGGCAAAAAGAGTTTGCTGACGCGATATTTGCTCTCGTCAACAGAAGGACGACGACCAAGACCAATCTGATGGCCTGGTGCGGAGAGAGGAAACTTGAAATTCCACTCTTTCGCCCAGATCTAACTCTTCAATTATCATTTATTTTAGGTCTTTGTAACTCTGTCAATTTACTAATTGGGCATTTGTAATTGTAAAATTAGCGGATTTTCAATCGGTATGGTCGCAGTTAACACGGTTACACGCACCTGGTGCGAATTTAAATAGCGTCAAAAATTTAGAATTGAAAATGCATGACATGACATAACTATGCAAATACGGAACTACTCTACTTTGTTGAATTTGTAAATTTACGGTCAAAAATGAAGAAAACAAATATCTAGAAAGTATCTGTAAAAGGAGGTAATTCACGCAGTTCTTTGTAACATGGTAAACTATGGAAACTTACAAATGTCATATAACATCTTAAAGGTTATCAGTGAAAATAAGCTGACAAACGCAGATCACTAGCGTCGTTTAACAGCCTTTCCACCAATTTTACAAAACTCACATATTTTACACCGTTACGAAAGAATTGCGAAAATTTCTCACGGTTTAGACGTAACAAAATAGTTACTAAATGGAAATACTTGTTTTTCTCAGGTGAGAATAGATTTCAAACTTAAATATTTTACGAGAACCTCGGTAATAATTTTGGGCCTAACTATTTAAAACCCTGCCATGCAAAATTAATCTATTTAAATTAATCTATTAATCTATTTTTGTAGAAAATTATGTCCCCGTTAAATGTTGAATAAATAAAGTAAAAGTAAAAGAGAAGGTTAAGATGAGTAATTAAGGAAAGCGCACTGATTTTGTAAGGGCGGCGAGTAGAAAGCCGCACAGAAAGAAACCCAACGGGACAATTTGGCCTCTGAGTGAAGTAAAAAGAGGACCGAGAGTCATAATTATTGGGCAAAATGAATCCTTCCGATTACGTTTTGCATGTAATGTCCCAGGAAAAAAGAGGTGGATGATGTACACAAACGGCTCCACTTTCTCTCGGAGAATCACTAATCGGGGAACCTGGCTGGATAATAATATTGATAAGATAAGCGCCTCTCTCTCTCTCGCCGTCACGAAAGTGCACGTCAGACGTGACGCTGGAGTAAAGTGAAAGTAAAAGGCTCATGTTTTTTGGTCGGTGGAGAAGAAGAGCTGAGTGGGCTTTGGGAGCCTTGTTTTTGGAAATCCTGATTGAATAAAAGTAAAAGTCTGTCTCCCAGTAGGGTAACTGGGTGGGGGTGACGTGAGATTGGATCGATCGATGCAGGTGAAAATACAAATTTCCTATCAATTTAGTTCAAAGTCTAAATTCGGAGGAACTGGATTTGAACAGTTTTAGTCACCCTGCCTCGCCAAATGGTGGCCTCGACGTATTGGATGGGACACACATTTTCTAGCGGATGGGGGCCATACCAGAAAACTCCATTGATTAGCCCAGTTTGAAATGGGAAAATAGGGGGTTGAACAACTCGTGTCCCTGTGAAAATTAGGTTGGGAGGAGGCCGATGTATTTGGAATTTTTTTTCCGAGGGCGCGGCCTCCTCCTGCTCAGGCCAGGGAGAAAGCAGAGCCGTTTCCCCTCCTTGCATCCACAACGATAGACGATCAGACAGTGTGTACATAGCGAACATATTGTGAGTATACAGAGCAGAGTCTAAGTCTGGTATCTGGGGGGATGGGCAGAAAGGGTGTGGGATTGCCCCCGCCTGGAGGGGCGCAGGGCGTCTGGGCCACCGTTTCTCCCGCATGACCCCCGGATATCCAGATCCTACGGGGACACGGAGTAGTGGGAGAGAGATCCACTTACCGTGGTCTTCTCCAGGCAGCGGAGAAGATGATGATGTTGCAACTCGAAAATGTCGTCCTCCTTCCCATCGTCAATTTCCAAGCCTGACTCTTGAGCAGCCAGCCGAGCCTCCACAGCCTTCTTCTTGGTCACAAAGGCTGCTCCAGAGGACGCCTTCGCTATCCGGATTCGAGCCAGTCTCGCTTTCTACAAACCAAAAACACACCATTTTCCTCTCATCCTTTCAGAAAAAAACTTTTAATTTAGAGTAATTAGTATTTCCATTTCTTATTATGGTCTAAATTGGGGAGAAATTCATGCTGAGCCGAGTCGTCGTTTGGTGTAGGGGCACTTCGTTAATATACCGGGTTGGGGACAGTTACATGGACACAGCTCGAGTGGAGGGTGACAAATTAACTCACGCCAACTTTGCCAACCGTTCAAAGTGTTTGACATTATATGTCCACATTTTGAACAGCTTTAAAGTGGCTCTTTGTAAAAATGAATTTCCTGTATTTGTTGGAAAGTAGGAATTTGTAAGCTGTGTGCGTGTCGAGTTATTTGCAAGGTTGGGGTGGCTTGGTGGTGGTTGGAGGGACGGAGGGATGTGGGTGGAGGTGGGGAAAGTGGGAATAGAAGGTCAATCGTGGTGCTTGCCTTTTGCGCCTTCCTTTTGTCTGCTCGTTGGTTCTGGTGGTAAATTCGGCTGAAATTGGACACGATGACGGGGACGGGCAGGGCGATGACGAGCACTCCGCTCAGCGAGCACACCCCTCCCACAACCTTCCCCGCTATCGTCCGCGGCACCATGTCCCCGTACCTGCAAAAACCACAGCACAATTAGACCAACCTCTCCTCCAAGCAGCTTCTGCCCACCTAATTTCGCACGTGCAGATTAATAAATCCGTGTCATGCACAAGTTGAAATATTGAAACAGAGAGCACTTTCACTTATTTGAGAAATATGTAAATGTCGTCTTTACTTCTTGGCGTGACAAGCAAGTAATCTTTGGGAGGGGAGAAGAAAGAGTGGATCGGATCGCGTGTGATCATGAAAGGATTTAAAAATGTATAAACCTCTCGACAAGGACTTTCACTTTCTCTTTTCACTCTAAAACTGACACATAATGCGATACTTTGAATAAAATAGGGAGCGAGATGAAAGGAGAAAATGTGTCGAACCCCTTTCAAACTTTGTTGACAAATAATAAGTGAGTAGCCGGCTTTTTCTTAGTTGGCTTGTATTTTTTATCCCGTCACTCATCCCCCTTGTCCTCACCACTGTGTCAAAGGGTGCAGGGCAGCAATCAGTGCTCCGCCTTAATGCCAGAAAATCCATGAAAAAATATTATCCCGTGTCATTTCAACTCCCCAAATGTCGTCCCACTGAATGGACACATTTTTGTGGACGAATCGGACTAGATTCTGGTTGTGGAGAAAACTAGCGTCATGCATGGCACCAAGAATGCTATGCACGAGTTGTGGCATGTTAAAATTCCCCTCATTTTGAGCACTCCTCCATTTTTAAGAAGAGGGACATGAGTGGTGATCTTATGGGAGTCGATCTCGCCGTTTGACCACCGGGTGACCCTCATACTACGTATTCAATCCCTAGATTCACTGAATTCGTACAAGTTCACACGTCCGTTTGAAATGTGACTTTCCGTTATTAAAGTCCTGTTTTTTAGGGATAAAATCCCGCTTTTTCTCACGACTTTCACTGGGGAAACCCTGAGGAGGGCTGGAATCCAATCCACTCATAAAAATTGACAAGTCCTACTTTCGGTTGATGCTGCCTGGAGAGTGAACGTGGGCGTCAGAGTTTTGTGCGATGGTCTCTTTGATGCCACAAAGTCTGGAAATATTGTGTCCCCGTCCTCATGTTGTGTACAGATTGAGAGGAATTAAAAAGCAGAGGAGGAGGAGGAAAAAGCGAGTCAAAAGTCCTCCTTTTCACTTTTCGTCGCCGTCTTGTCGAAAATTTCTGGTGAGTGAAAGCTTCTCAGATTATATTTTCCTGCATGTACGTCCAGCATAAAGAGCTCAGTCACTCTGTCATCCACTTCCAGCACGGCCTCGTATTTGCATTTCCTTTCTCAACTACTTACTCCTCCACTGAAGGCAGACTCAGAATCCATCAAGGGGTCGTGCGGGAAGGACGCGGGGATTCTCGGCACCTTTGCCCAATAAACAGCTCCCACCACCAGTCAGCATCTGCACCTTCAGTGAGCGTATTCCTATACGGTTATCATGGGGTAGGCCAAAAGGTGGCAGAGTTGTTGGGCGGCCCCAGCCTGTTTGTACTTTGGGAGGAATCCAATCACCTCGAAATGGTGAATGTGTGGAGCACTTTTGTCCGTCTTCTCCTGGTCACCCTTGACTTGGGCGAGAAAGCTTTCCCTGACTTGTTTGGATCTATATTGGGATTCATGAATCTCATCTGATTTGATAAATCTGCCAAGATTAGATTGACTCGTGGAGATGAAAAATGAGGAAATATCCATCTCGCGAAAACCCATTCTTCCCAATAATAAATAACAAGAAGAAGTTGCAGGGCTGTAAAACAAGTCGGCCCAAGAAGCACACCCCCATCAGTTCCAGTCTTCAATTCCTGCATGCAAAGTTTCTGCGGAAATGTGGCCCTGATTTATTACTGCGCCACCTAACGGAAAGCTCTTTGAAAATCGCGAAAACTTGGGCGGATCTTTACCCCAGAGACTAATTTCTCCTCCCAGGTGCGCAGAAATTCTGCTGACTTTATTCAAATATTCGCGGCTGCAGTATATTCTTTCCTCACCTGACCTTTACGTTTCCAAAAGTCGGAAAGGAACGGCACAAGTGTGAAGATTTCTAGGATTGTGGGATTCCAAGGGGTGGAGCTTAATAAGATTTTAATGGTAGACTAAAGCATTAAAAACTCTTAAGGAGCCTGTCTAATCGGCGGGATATCGCCTAAATTGGCGCACATTTTTCCGCGAAATGGTGCTGGAGACGGGGAAGAGTGGACCACCTTCTGGCTCTCTCCGTTAGCCCATCAGTGCGGAGAGCCGTCATCGATCCGTAACTGGATCAGGGCACCTTTCACCAAGCTCAGTTTTATTACGTGCCACCGAATTTTATCATTATCCTCTCATCCTCGCAGGCATAAAATGAAAGGCGCGTCCCCCCACCCGGCAGGCAACATGTGTTTGCGGAGAAGGTTATTACGGCGCCTCGAGTTTCATGGCCATGAGGAAACTCGTGTATTCGTGATCACCATCATTCGCTCGCTCGCTCTCCGTCCCGGTGGGAATGACGAGAAAGTGGGAATGACGAGAAAGTAAACGGATCAAATGGGTGTAAAAGTAGGTTTTTGGAGGTATAAAATCTGAACGAGGATGAAGACGTTGGGGCGAAGCGTTTCCCGCCGGCTGGGACGATTTTATTGAACTCGACTCACTCCCTGACTGGATTTTAAGCATGACTTAATGTGCTCCACCAATGAGATGGGATTTAAGGGACAGTTTATCCCAGAGGGAAATAATTCGAGTGGGGAGATGGAAATTGGGAGCCCACTTTGAGCAACCCTGGGCACTTTTGTTCGCCATTTTCCCGGTAGAAATAAGCCTATTTCAATCACTTACAATTTATTTAAAAAGCTCGAGCCCCAGAATTTTGTGTGATGCATTTTGACATGCATGGATTCCTGCCTTGTCTCCCTCTCTGCGTTTGACATAATCTTCTTAGCGAGAAGAGACATTCCGCCGCATTCAGCCGCCTTCCCTCCAAATGGAAAAACATTTCTCCTCAAAATCTGTCAAGTCTTCTCCATTCAATTTGACAGCTCCTTATTTTCCCATCCCATCAAGCACACAATATGAACGCGTATTCTACTCGGGCAACATTTTCGGCTACAAAACATTTTTGCATAAAGATGACCACAGCGAAAAGTGCGACGTGATCGAATTAATCTAAACTTTTTCTTGGTTGGCCTAGGTAAAGATGGCATCTTTTTCTACCCACTTTCGTTTTTCTTGTGTCAAGTTCCATCCGCAATCTTGTCAATTAGTTTCATCCTCAAATCAAAATCAAATCAAAACCATGTGCTCTAGAATTTTTGAAATCTTGCGAGAATTGAAAAAATGACATTATTTGAAGCCGGTATTTTGGGTTGATTTTTTTCGCAAAAAATTGCAAGTCTGGAATTATGAAAACCGCAAATCAGAATGCTTCTCCTTATGCCCTTTGAACGCCGTGATAATTGCTCCTTTTTGCACTGGCCTTCAAAAAATGATAACTCCAAGGAGTCGAAATCCTGCATGGTGGGACAAAATTGCATACTAATTCTAGGATAAAGTCCTCCACGCCGTACGTGATGGGTAAACATGGTGGGGATGTAATTAACGACCCCCCTATCATTACGGGTTTTGCCCCCTATATTGTGGAAATTGACCCCCATTGATATTTGCCCCCACATAATTCATTTTTTGCCCCCTAAGTATCAAGCGATTCCCCTAAATAAAATGACTCGCCACATAATTAAAATCAAATATAATTAAATATATTTTAACTAGTTAGAGTTCAGTGAACAGGAAAAACATGCATATCTCAAACTTGTGTTACCTTTTTTTCTGCGGTTCTAATCTACTCAGGTTAGAAAGGGACGAGACTACATATGTATCTCTCTATTAAATTATCACTACCTCAGACTACCTGCTCAACTTTTAGTAGCTTTTGAACCATTGACAGCTTTTGAGCATTTGCACAACATGACAAAGAAATGTTCCCAAACACTTAATTTTGATTCCGGAAGTAGTGACGACGAATCCGACAATAGTAGAAATGAATACCAGCCTGCAAAGCGACGGAAATTGTTGGATTGGAATTTTGTTAAAAACTTTTCCACGAAACAAGCAGCCCAGTAGTTCATCAATAGTGAAAATAAATGGGTGTATAAAACAAAGTATCAAACCTCAGACGCTGAAATTTTAAAATTCGTATGCCGTAGCGTCGACTCATGCAGCGCAAAATGTCGTATTATATTATTGTCGAATAATACGTCGGTCATTGTCGAGAAGACAACTGATGAACATGACCATGTTCCAATTCCTAAAACAGGTAATTTCGTAAATTTTATTGCACAGTATTTTGCAGGCTAAAAATGTTAAATATATTTTAGGAATTGATGCCGGTACGAAGATCGAAATCCAAAAACTACTAAAGTCTGGAGTAACGCAGCCCAAACTAATTTTTCGGTCGCTTTTGGAATTGGGCGTTGACGTTCCCACTAAAACTAAATTGACCAACTTTTTGGCAACCCGTAGAAAAAAGGAAGGCCCTACTATTTTATCCATTGGCGTATTAGAGGCCGAGTGTGCGAGATTATCGGAGGTTCCGGTAGATAATGACGAAAGCTATATTGTAAATTGCGAATTTGACTACGATTCAAAGTGGTTCGGGCTTCTTATCTCTACTCCGCGCCTTCTACAATTACTTCTGCGCACCCTTGCTCTTCACGCCGATGCCACCTACAAGCTTAATTGGATTTTTTGGATTTTTTGGATTGGATTTTTTGGATTAGAAGATTGTGATGCAGCAAAATTGCTTTGGTTTAAGAAATATGAGAAGCTAACCCTGAGCTTTCTTTATATTTCCAAGAGGAACACTTGCAGCAACGGGAAGGGTGGTTAGAAGGACGAGCCCTTGGATTTCCGTCAACAAACAATGGATTGGAATCCACAAACCTTTGGATTAAACAGCAGATGCAGACAACAGCTTGATTAACGCTTAATATTTAATTAATTTTGTTTTTCTTTGACAAATCCGGTCTAAATATACTGCA